GGTTTACAGAGTCAGCCTCTTGCATTGAGCCAGTGAAAATCGATCACCTAGCTGTGGGCAGAGTTAGCCTGCAATACTGCATTCTAAGTGGAAGGAAGGAAGGAAGGCGGGAGGGAGGGAGGGAGGGAGAGAAGAAGGAAGGAAGGAGAGAGGGAGACAGGAAGGAAGGGTGGAAGGAAAAAAGCAATAGCACTTCGATTTATATACCGCTTCACAGTACTTTACAGCCTTCTCTAAGCGGTTTACAGAGTCAATCTATTGCATTGAGCCAGTGAGAATCGAACTCCTGGCTGTGGGTAGAGTTAGCCTGCAACAGTGCAAAAGGGAGGGAAGGAAGGAAGGAAGCAAGGAAGGAAGGAAGGAAGGAAGGAAGGACCCTTAGACTTATATACCGCTTCACAGTGCTTTTACAGGCCTCTCTAAGCGGTTTACAGAGTCAGCATATTTTACCCCAACAATTTGGGGTCCTCATTTTCCCACCTCGGAAGGAAGGAAGGCAACCTTGAACCCTATAGGAGGACGACCTGAACTCTGCACAGCCACCTCTGTTGCCCACCTGACACGCCCGACGTGGCTCATGGGAGGGATATGGACTCCCCCTTCCCACCCCTTATCAAGGAGGACTGGCCAGAGAAGCAGTCGGGTGAGGCGGTTGCTTTAATGAAACGCCCGTTGTCTTTCATGGGCTTCTCCTTGAGGTGACCTCTCTCTTTCTCTCTCTCTCTCTCTCTCTCTGGCCAGCGACACTGGACGGCTCCTGGTGGAACAGCGGCTGCCCACCCTGGCTTACACCGTGTAGAGCACGGAGGCAAATGAGAAGGCGAGGAAGACGCCGAAGGCGTGAGGAAAGCCCAGCCAGTCCACCAGGCTACCTGCCACGGTGCTGAAAGCCACTTTACCAAGGACCTCGATAGCGGCCAAAAGGCTGTAGTGGGTGGCCTGCGGGGAGAAAATTTGCCATGTGTCACAAATGGTGTTTAGTTTTAGTTTACTTTATAGTCATTGCACCTGGTGCAACAAAATTAAATGCCATCCTCAGTGTATGAAAATAAAAAACACACACACATCCTTCGCATTCTATACCAAGGGCCTTCAAACTTGGCAAGTTTAAGACTTGGGGACTTTAATTCCCAGAATTCCTGAGCTAACGTGACTGGAGGAGGAATTCTGGGAGTTGAAGTCCACAAGTCAAGCTGTCAAGGCCCCAGTTCTATACATTAAACTGAAAACCCTACTCGTTGTAGGATACCTTACGCCACCAGACTTGAAATTCTAGACCTAGAAAACCTTGAATTACGCCGTCTTCGGTCTGATCTAAGTATGGTATATAAAATCATACATTGCAATGACTTACCTGTCAATGAATACTTCAGCTTCAACCATAACAATACAAGAGCACACAATAGATACAAACTCAAGGTTAACCGCACCAAACTTGATTGCAGGAAATACGACTTCAGCAACAGAACGGTCAATGTCTGGAATCCTCTACCTGACTCTGTGGTTTCTTCCCCAAACCCCAAAAACTTTAACCTTAGACTGTCTACTGTTGACCTCCCCCCTTTCCTAAGAGGTCTGTAGAGGGCGTGCATAAGCGCACCAACGTGCCTACCGTCCCTGTCCTATTGTTTCTTTTATATTTCTTATATGTACCCATTTCATGTATTCAGAACTATGTTTATACTTATACCTGTTATCTTATAATCGCTTGACAAAATAAATAAATAAAATAAATAAAAACCCCTTGATATTGCATGAATATTGCACTTACAACGATTCACGTAGTGACCATTCAAAGTTACAACATCATTGGGAAAAAATGACTGATGGCCGTTTTGTTCACATTTACGTCCATCACAGCATTCCTGCGATCAAAATTCAGACACTTGGCCCTCGACTCCTATTTATAACGGTCGCAGCGTCTCGGAGACCCCGTGATCCCCTTTTGCGACCTTCTGACCAGCAAAAAAAGTCCAAGGGGAATCCAGATTCGCTCAATTGTCCGTGGGACTAACTTAACGACTGCCGTGATTCACTTAACAATGGTGGACTGAAAGGCCGTAAAAGGGGGCAAAACTCACTTAATAAATGTCTCGCTTAGCAGCATAGATTTTGAGGTCAATTGTGGTCCTGAGCTGAGGACTACCATGTACCTGAATTTGGTCATAATATGTGTTATACCCGTTAGAATCTGACTCCGAGGGAGAGGAGGAACAGCCAACAGGGAGTGGGAGTGGCTCCAGAGGTTGTGAAGGAAACTGAGGGAGGGCACAGGCCGGCTGGGCAGTCAGAGGAAGACCCAGGCCCACCCCCTCTTCATCCTAGGGCACACAGGGAGGAGTGGATAAGGGAGAAACATGAGTGGAATGGTCTATGGGGGAGGAAAGGGCCTTGATCCCCTTCATGGGCTGCAGCTGTGAGAACTGTTTAAAAGGACAAACTGCGCATGGCCCAGTGCTGGAAGCAAAGCGTGAAATAATTCTAGTCTGTCTGTTCTTATCTCAGTTTTGGCATCCTTCCCAGTGTGTGTATTTTGATATCTGTGGACTTCTTCAAGCCCTTTTCCTGCCTGGTCTCCTTAATTGCTTCAGTGTGGTTTGTGTTGTTTTTTCTATTTATAATTTATATGTATTTTGAGTTGGAACGGAATTTCTTCCTTTTTGCAACTGTTTGTGGGGGAGTTTTTTCTCCAGTCAGTGATAATCGGACCTTTGAAGCCAAGTGGAAGGAATTGAAGGGACTTCACCTGGTTTCGTGACATTGTTGCTTTTGTATCCCACCCTGGGTCCTCACAATATGCCAGTATGATTGTCAACTCATAAAACATTTCTATGCCTGTTTTCTAGTTGTCATAAACAAGGGAGTAGACAAATCTGAAGGAGCAGCACTTGGCAGTTTAAAACCAGAAGTACATTCCACGCTTATCTTACAAAGATTGTAGCCAGGCTACCGGATCTTCTGCCCACACAAAGATCCTCCATTGGAGAATGTGATTGATGACACCCAGCCTGTGAATGTGCTTCATTGGAGAATCTGATTTATGACACACTCAGGGGGGGAGGGGGAGAGACAGGGTCAAAGGTGGCTGTAAATTACGTAGGCCAGAGTTGGCTGCATTTAGGTCAATGCCGGCATGTTGATCCTAATAAACCTTTGGAGGTTTTTTTTTGAAGCTTGGCGTGAGGCTCATGATTTAATTAGGGCAGTGGTGGCTAACCTTTTTGGGCTCCTGTGCCCAAAAGTGTGTGCGCGCTTGCGCACTTGCATGCCAGCACCCAGAAGGCAATGTGCGCGCCACCCCCGTTGCCTGCACTGCGCTTCCCAGATGATTTTTGGCCCGTTTGAGGCCTTTTTGGCCTTCCAGAGGCTTCAGGAAAGCTTTGTAGCCTTTGCAGGCCGAAAAACGGGCCCGTTTCGTCACTTCCGCTATTTCCGGAAATACAGGAAGTGACGAAACGGGACAATTATTTGGCCTGCAGAGGCTTTTTTCAAGCCTCTGGGAGGCCGAAAAAGGCCTTAAACAGGCCGAAAATCAGTTGTGAGGCATGCACGGTGAGGTAAGTTTGCCTGTGGCTCGCATGCCGGCACAAATAGCCCTGGGTGCCACCTGTGGCATGCGTGCCAGAGGTTCGCCATCATGGAATTAGTGCAATTTCCGGAACCCTGACCCTGGTATTTTCCAATCAAGTTATTCCTTGAAGGAATCCACCTTCCTTGGAGTTTTTGCTTGCAACGGATCGATTCCCTGGCACTCTTGACATCCTGTTGTGCGAAGGCTCGCGACTCCGAAAGTAGAACACCCACCTGGATCTTTTCTGGGGCTTTCTGAGTGCAGAGCATCATCTTGCTGAAGACCAGGGTGGTGATTTGGCCCCCGATGAAGTGCTGGATGCACATGCTCAGCACCGCGGCCACTGCAACGAGAGGCCAAGCCGGTCAGGCCCAGGCGCAGGACAGGCGAAAAGCTCCTCGACTCGGAGCCACAAGGAAGAGATGCAGCTTTGAAGC